ATTTATCTTTCTTTCTCTCCTCCCCATCTTACTCTTTATCTCTATCCTCTCTGTTATCTCCCATGCGCATTCTATTCTCCTCTCTCTCCTATCGTATTTCCCAATATCACGATCTCTTACACGCGATATTATCAGGAGTCTATCAATTAATAGACTCTTGATATTATATTAGCTACCTGCTCTCTTCCTATACTTGAGCGGATTTTTAAATGCGGTTTGACTTGCTGCCAGTGTAGGCTGTAACAGAGCCGAAATGCACCGGAATCCGAAAAAACAAGCGACGTTCGATTCCAACCGGAATAAGATGATAGAGCACAACGTCAAGTTCGAACTCGGAGAATCAAACTACACGATGGAGGTCAACAAGTTTGCCGACCTGGTAAGTAGCATTGCAATTGTCTGATCGTACTCGCCGCTAGGTGGCGGTCTGGCAGTCCGTCGAAGGTCTACTGCGAATTCGCGGAATTCCAGTGCAGCTAGCAAAATAGAGACGTTGGAAGTTCAAGGCTGGTTTGAAAATCAGTAGGCCAGGCACAACGTTCTAACAATGCTTTCATGGACAATATTGACCTTGTTTGTGGAGCTCTCAAATAGTGATTATGCTTAACAACGGCTGCAGAACATGTGTTTTCCACGGTTTATTACTAAGACCTATCGATGATGAAATATCGTTATGTCTGTAATCATCTGAGGTACATCAGTCGCATCATCGTATAAACATGAATTATCTGGGATCCAATGCCCAACCAATGACGTATTAACAATGGTATATCACTTATAGCGTATCAATATATTGTGTGTCAGTTACCAATGACGTAATAACAATAGTGTATCACTAATAGCGTATCAATATATGGTGTGTCGGTAATGGTGTATCAATAATGGTGTATCACTCATAGCGTATCAATACATGGTGAGTCAGTGATATAGTGTATCAATAATGGTGTATCAGTAATGTACTATAACCAATGACGTATCAATAATGGTGTATCTCTAATTGCACATCAATAATTGCGGATCAGTAATGACCTGTAGCTGACGGCATATCAGTAATGTTTTATGTTGGTGGTATATTAATAATGTCGTATGTTTGTAGTATATCAATAATCTCGTATGTTGGTGGTATATCAGTAATGTCTTATGTTGGTGGTATATCAATAATGTCTTATGTTGGTGGTATAAATAATGGCGTATTGTTGGTGGTATAGCAATAATGTCGTATGTTGGTGGTATATCAATAATGTCGTATGTTGGTGGTATATCAATAATGTCGTATGTTGGTGGTATATCAATAATGTCGTGTAACTAATTTCGCATCATTATTCGTGTATTAATAATAACGTGTTACTAATTGTGCGTCACTCATGACGTTTAACCACTGACGTATCAGTGATGTCGCATCACAGATTGTGCGTCACTTATGACGTTCAACTAGTGACGTATGATTGATGACTCGTCACTAATGACGTATCACTACATGGCCAATGACGTATCACTAATGACGTATCACTAATGACGTATCACTAATGACGTAAAACTAATCACGTATCACTAATGATGGTCAACCGATGATTTCTCTCTTACGCTTCAAGACGGCCGAGGAGTTCATAGCCACGCAAGGCGGTCTCAAGATCGCGTCCGAACGGAGAGCGAAAGGACGTCCCCAGCCGACGGGCGGCGATCGGCACAGCAGACGACAAACGAGAACGAAGCGACAGACGCCGACTAACCGTAAGTATCGTCAACGTCATTAACGTCACCGACTCGAGCCGTGCGTTAAAGCAAGCGGATCTGCGGTACTGTAGTACCGAGAGACTCTTCATAGCCACGGGTTGTCTACACACCGGGGACTATTTACTGACGGATCATCATAGGAGAACATCACGATTATAACCCTTCTCGTCCAAAAATATATATACCAGTAAGCCAGTGAAAAAACAGGAAGCAGTCAGTTTGAATATTTCACACCTCCATTTTACTAATTGTTTCCCGAATTCAGACCTCACCAGAGGCTAGAAATTGCCGTCTGTAGCACTAAAATTATCGCCTGATAACGCTCTCTGTGCTCACCTCGATGCTTGGTTTTGGCCCATCTCTACGTTGGGTCGTTTTATGGATCATTCAATGGGACAAGTTCATTTACATACGTACACATCCGCATACATACGTCCGTATAGGTGCATATGTATATGCTGACATGGCGTGTATGTTTGCAGTGCTCAGTATTCTCTATCCGACGTCGTTTACGGCGTTTGACTGGAGAGACAACAGCTTCACCGGAGTGGACAGGAATGGCGTTCAGACGGCGTGTTTGCAGCCCGTGCAAAACCAGGGAGCATGCAACTCAGGCTGGGCGTACGCCGCAGTACGTATATTACCCAAATAAAAACACACACGCGCGCATGCACACGTACACACGCGCACGCACACATGTACACACACACACACACACGCGCGCGCACGCACGCACGCACACACACGCACGCACGCACGCACACACACACACACGTAACACACATAAACGCACTACACATATACTCTTAACCTATAGAACATACACGCGCGCACACACACCACCCACCCACCCCTACACACACCAACTCTTAACCTATAGAACTAGACTGCAGTCACTAAAAGGCATAGATTGATTGTTTGAGCGCAGTACATAGAATATCTTGTCCGCTGGCACTAGCAAGCAAACCCGTAGAGAGGTCTATAAAAACATGATACCTAATATCCACCTGTAAAACTGCACCCTGACTTGCCTCTCCCCACATCATTACAAGTGTATGTGCCAAACTGCACTTTTCTATACAGCAGGTGTAAGTTCAACAATATGTCAATCTGCTTCAGAAGATTTCCACGCTACCTATATTATAACCTACACAATTATGAGTGTATGTGCAATGTCCATGTACACGACTTGACCTAGGACACGAATGAAAGACTTTGACACGGTCAGATTTAGACGCGAAGGTTGCATCGCATTATCCTATGTAATTGGATATTACACTAAACAAAGACGCACTGCGATTGTAGAATGCGTGGCAGGTGCGCTAATGTGTTTGTGTGTGTGTGTGGGTGTGTGTGTGTGTGTGTGTGTGTGTGTGTATGTGTGTGTGTGTGTGTGTGTGTGTGTGTGTGTGTGT